TTATTATTATTATTATTATTATTATTATTATTATTATTATTATTATTATTATTATTATTATATCATCAGCATATCAACAACGAGGCCTTTGGGCTCTTTGTAGAGCTCCAGGAAGTGTAGTGTTTCTTAAAACAAACTCCAGTGGCACCTAAAACAAAACTAAGACTATTCTAATCAATATGAACTTTATGTTAAAGAACAATAGCTTAGAACTCCAGAAATTTTTAATTTATCAAGTGCAGGAATAATGCAAAGTTAAGAGTCTCCTAACTACATGGAAGTTGTCACATCATCTTCATCAAATTTAATATAGATTTCAATCTTTATTTAAAATTACTTACCTCAATTCTGGTGAGGTAGGCGCTGGAATTGCAATTAATTTTGTAACTTTGTTGATGGTTGTGTTATTAATCTGTTAGAAACAAAGAGTTCACAGCTAAGTAAAACCAGTAATTTTTAGCTTTAAAAGAAACCCTTTTATTTCACATGCTTTAACAGTCTGAAATTCCAAAGATAAGAAGCACATTTTCTCATGAATACACTTCAACAAATATTGACCCTGACATTGTTGTCACAACTTATGGAAGGAATTGGCTCATCTAATATAGACCGAATAACAGAAAGAGGAACTTGGCTTAGTTTGCAACAAAGACAGCTTAGACCAGACACTGAACAAACTTTCTATCTGTAAGCGCTGCAAGCTCCACAACAGACATAAAGAACAGACAACATAGAATCCTGGGAGTAAGAAGTCAAGAACTGAGGTGAAAGACATGGTAGGAATGATCTAAATATATATGATCTAGCCTTAGGGCCAGGGGATACACTATGGTTTATCTAAAGGCCCTTTATCGATCTGCATTCTTACGTTCTTCTGGTTGCCACCATTACCAGTTATTTTCACATTTCATGCAAGCAGCGAGCACCATGATGAAAACATCATCTAATGTATATGGTATTGATATTACCTAAGAAATATTCTGCTAGAAAGTAAAAGAGTTTCAAGAGACAGGAAACCTGGTTTGCTAATAGCTGTAGGCATAACGTTAATACACTTAGGACTGTTTCAGTAGACATTATCATCACTGAAACACAATGTGGAGGTGGTGCTTGCCAGGGGCCTACCCCTGCCCAAACTCAATGCTCAATGTGCACCTGGGCAGTAGCTCTCTGTGGTGGTTTTGCTGATCACTCTCACGCTTGCAGAGACTGGCATGTGAAATCTTAGACTGAGTGCAGACAGGGATGTGTAGGAGAAAGATAAAAGGCCTTTTACAAGCTGATGTCCTTATTTTTTTCCCTCCCTTCTGTTTTCCATCTATAAGGACTGAACATTCTCGTCCTCATAATATTATCTTGATACTGAATAATCTATATGGTACTTGCTTTGCATGATATCTTTCTCTGAAACCTCTGTTGTGTGGTGACACTCACGTCACATAGGTCTATTGCAAAATTAATAACTGATTAACCACATGCCAAGAAGCACAGAAAGAAGCATAGAACTACACCCTATTTATGAGAGTCTCAATATGAATTATTCCCAGGATGCAATCCGACTTAATTTATGCCCTGTTGTCATCTAATGATGCTCACTGTCTGAAGTTAAGTGCCTAAATTAATTTGCAAAGGAAGGTCCTGTATGCCTAAACGTAGATTCTTAATCAGGCAGTTCCTCTCTTCAGACTTCCAAGGGCTTGCCCCTCCTCTCAGTAGCTACATAGAGAATACAGGCCCTTACTGCAGGAAGTTTACTTAGCTGGAATTCTAAAATTTAGTTGCAAAGCAGCTGTTTGAGAGAGAGAGAGAGAGGGAGGGAGGGAGGGAGGGAGAGTAGATCTGTCCACTGCAAATAGTAATTTGTACTGCAAATTGTATTTGAAACAAAATAAAACTATACAAAACGTAAGCAGAATCGTGTCAGGGTATCAGTATTTTAAGTGTAGACAAAGAAACTCCTTTCAACCTTCCATACAATAAAGTTTCCAAAGAGAGAACACTTACTATTTCTACATTTAGTGAGGTGTTGCTTTCTTCACTTGACTGAAGTTTTACCTTGCCCACATAGAACACTAAAACCAAAAGGCAGAAAAGTTAAGAAAACCAACAGTAAACCACATGATGTAAAATTATTTGAGAATTTAAAAGCTCGCTGTCTTGTGTTACAATAGAAGAGAAATAAGAACACTTACACTAGCTTTCTCTGATCATTCACTATTTTTGCAATTGTTCTTCCATCTCTTCACTTACTGTTTCCATAAATGAACCAGTCCAATAGCTTCATTATTTTCTGTGTATTTATTTTTGTTGACTGTCTCTAAATTCTAGTTCTTTTTTTTTTCTTTCCCAAAATAGAAAAACTGCACTGCACGTTACTATTAATACAACTCCAACTCCCGCAATGAGAATAAAATCATAGAAT